CGATACGCCTACAAAAAAATGCCTATCGCATTTTTTAGCCCCTGATACGCACAATATAATTATCATACACGCCATTAAAATGCACAATTTGATCGTTACATACACCATTATTTCAAAATCTTGACCAAAATCCTATTTTTCCGATGCATGTGTGATCAAAATGCACACGGTGACGTGTTCTGTCGACCACCAGCAGCACCCAGCTAACAAACAGCATGGTACACTGGTTCCCTTTACCAGCTAACGGAATCAATGCTATGATGAAGGACCGGAACCAGTGACTACTGCCTCTCTCCAGTCCATACTTTTGGGCCGAAGTTGGATCGTAAAAATATTACCAAACAAACATCGCTGGAGAAAGAGAATTTCTGCGAATTAATTCACAGAACGTGATCTTTACTTAACGCCTTTATAGTTTGAAGTGACTGTTGGCAAACCCTTTTTTTCTTGCACTATGCATTCTTGCCTTATCTATATTAACCAATACTGGTTCTGTCGTCTGTAGAATTATTGTTAACCTCTCAACTGTAGCAATTTGTGAATTGGGGTATAAACTGGGGGGTACCTCAGTTAGTCTTGGAAAGACTAGTGTTTTTAGTACAGTGTCAAGTACATTGTGTTTCCCATGCCTTTTTTGTGACAGACCCAAAGGCATATACAGTGTCGCACCTGTATAAAGTATAAAATGTTGTCAGGGCTACTGATTTGTTAAATGGATTTGGTTGGGGTAAAAAAAAACACTCATCAGAGATTGATATACTATTTCTAAGAGAATGGAGGGGTTGTATGGTGGGGGTACACAGATTCATTGAATGTGAAGTCATAGTGGACGTGAACACCCCTTTCAGAGGAGAGTACATCGTGTTGTGACCCAATCTGCTGTCAATGCGGCGCAACGGGTAGGGGGTAGAGAGATTTTGCAACCCCCCCCCCCAAGAGAAAAAGAGAACAGATAACAAAAAAAAAAAGAATGGAATGAAAGTCAATATTTTACTTCACATTTAACGTATATTGAAGACTATTGAAATGGCCATGAAATGTGACTGTTTTAAACAGCGCCCCAAGTGTTATATGACACCCCCCCCCCCCAATAAAAAAGGATTTTCTTGGTCCTTAAATGTTCAATGTTAGAGTTTAGGGCTGCCATTGTGTGTTGTGTAATTGTAATTATGAAATCACTCTGGAATTTAGATGTGCATGATATATGTACCGTACATGTACACGCGTTGAACCCTACAACTGGTTAGCCTACCGGTACTTACCCATGCTCTTTGGTGTAAGTCATTGTATTACCAAATAATGTCATATAGGTTATAGGTTAAATGTAAAAATTGCAATTGTGGGCACAGTGAGTTGGCCATTCACACCTCTAAAAGGATGAGTTTGCTGTGGCTCCACATCTGAATTTATTTTCTTTCACCAAGTTTGTGTGACGTTTACTCATTTATGAAAGGTAGGCACAAGTTTCGATGGTGGGCAAAATAATGATTAGTAGTTTGTGATGGCGTCACATTCGAAAAAAGAAAGATTCTCATAAATATATTGTCCGTGTGGAGTTTAACCCGCTTAGGAAAGGTAGGCACAAATTTTTAATGGGGGCATCATGACTACCCCCCCCCATATTACTTTGGCAGCCATGCCCCTAAAAGGGTGTGTTTGTGATGGCTCCACGTCTGAATTTTTTTCTCATGAATATTAATGTCAAGTTGGAATTAGCTTCATTCGTTTATGAGATGTGGGCATATTTTTCCCATGCATTATGTGAACCCCGCCCCCTTTTTTCAATATGGCTGCCACGCCCCTAAAAGGGTGTGTCCACGATGGCTCCACATCTTGAATTTTTTTCTCATGAACGTCAATGTCTGATGAAAGTTAAATTTTTCTGTCAATCTGGGAACAATATTTCCATGGTGGTCATAATGAAAAACCCGTCCCCCCTAATATTTTTTCCTAATACATTTGCCAAGCCCCTAAAAGGGTGTGTTTGCTCAACATCTGAAAAAAAATTTTTTCTCATGAACATAAACATCTGGGGGACATTTTATTCGTTTATGACATATGGGCACAATTTTTCCCAAGGAGGGCATAATAATTACTCCCCCCCCCCTTTTTAAATGGCTGCCACGCTACCACTTTTGTGGTGGCTCCGAATTTGGAAAACAATTATAATCTATATAATTATGTCTCTGTGAGGTTTCCTGCTTTTGTGACAAATGGGAACAACCGTTTTCACTGCCGACACAACAAGTCCCGCCCCCTTTTTTTAATGGTGCCACGCCCCTAAAAAGGTAAATTTGCAATGACTCCACATCTAAAACATTTTCTGGCATGAATATGAACATCTCTGCCAAGTTTTACGCTTTTATGCAGAAGTGCACAATTCATCAATATTTTGTCACATATCCGCTGGACTATTAGTGAATATATCCGATTTCCCCAAAACTTTCAATATTTGATAAACAGACAAATGCCTACAGCTTCAGATTTCTTCTTCTGCTGATTTCAAACCATTTCCATGGAAACTTGACATTTAAACAATATTCACAATTGTTATTTCTAAGCCTGCTATTGTCATGATTGTCATGGGAAAAAAAGAAGTAACAGCAAACAAAACAATACCAGAACAAATCTGAACAAAACATAAATCGCCTTAGTATTAATAAAAAACAATTAAAACAATTAATATTTGAAAAATTGGTGTTAAAAGTGATTTGAAAGACGTGACTGATATATTGACTCAGAGAATTTATGTCCACAGCCATGCCACCAGTTACAGCAATTATATCGGCCGAGCTGTAGTGTCACGGCTGTCAAAATGTTTTGATTATTCTCGGAAAGATCTTTTCTAAACCATCAAGACTACCAAAAAATAAGCACTTCAAATAAACTGCAAGGCATTTGGGAAGAAATGTTATGAAACCCTCTTCTAACCTGATGATTTTGTTTTGTTTTGCCAATGACAAATGTGACTTCTTCGTCAACACACACCCCAAAATTGACTTTTAATTAGAATATTGCGCACAAGCACAATTCCAGGAAAGATAGTATTCGATGAACTTATCAATGACCAATAGTTTAAGAATGAGAAATCCTGTGCATTCCATGCTTAAGAAAGGCCTAATTAGTGCTAATTATTCACCTTGAATTAGAATTTTGAGCACAAGAGTGAAACCTTCACTAAAAGCTAATTAACGTGACCAAAATGCAAGATCCGCAGTTTAAGAATGGATTTTCCCATGCATTTTGTGCTTAAGAATGAGTTAAAGTTCAATAATGAGCCGCCCGCTAAGGAACTTTTTTTGTGTGTGTTTAATTAGAATGTTGAGCACAACGATCATTCCAGCACCAAACGAGAGTGTATGAGTCAGCGTTTGCAGAATTTCAACTTAAGAATAAAAAATCTCGTGCAAAATCTACTTAAGAACGGCTTTTTTACTGCTAACTACAATTGTACGGTACGGAGGCCAATTTCTGCACGGCTTAAATAGTGAAAACGTAAGTGGTTTTGCAAAATAACGCGGAACACTTGTAAATAGATGGACTCTTTCGTGAACTAGCGCAATAGGATTGAGATAAGCATATCAGATTGCAAACAAAATCCCTGAATCGCGAAATTCCGTGGCAGTAATTTAAAAAAATCAACAAAGTAGGCCCTACGCTCAAAATAACAGAATATTACATGGTTTTGAAATTATAGCGCATTATTTTTGAATAATGCATTCATGCTTTTTCAAAAACAAATTTCACTCAGTGCAGTGTGGCTCTCATTGCAAATTGTAAATTTTGGTTCTCGAAGGGCCCAAGGTGCCCCCAGGTGCCCTCAGGTTGCCAAGGAAGTTTCTTCTAAAAGAATTATTATGGGTTGATAAAACGAAGAGGAATACAGTCGACTACTCCCTTATAATGACTTTCCTTAACCACACAGCTTTATAAAATGTGAATAAATTAATACGAAAAAAGAGCGTCTTGAAGCGTCCGAAGAGTTCCAGCCAATCCCCTGCTTTTCAAATTGGCAGCACTTGTGGTGGCCTGGAAATTGAGGGGAAATGATGTTGATCCAACTTCGGTGCCCCCTCATTAAATGCTGGTGCCTCCCTGTGACCCCCCCCCCTCGCATATGCGGATGTCGTTTGGGAAAAAAATTGCCAATCACAGGGGGGGTTCTTCAAATCCAAACGTGGAACTTTTTATGTTGGAAGCCAATACGACGTGGAGTCCTAGGCCTGCTGATAAGTCTCAGGAATAAAAATGGATTCTAGATGTACAGTACTTAGTGCAATCTGAGGAATTTGTGCAATCCGAGGAATTTGGCCACTTTCCCCTGTTTTGATCATGGAATGGGCCATGATCAAAACTTGATTGTATCATTACTCTTTGTGTTAGTTTTAAATTTCCTAGCAGTACTCGCCACCAGGCGGGGGTCCTTTGAAACCCTAGAAACACTCCCATTCCCTGATTTTAAAGGCCCTGACTAAGAAGGAAACCAGTTACAAATTGCATAGATCTCGCAGTGCATTGTAGCGGTTCTGATTGATGCTTATGTATCGGCCATAACAAGTACTTTTTGTGTCAATTATTATTTAGTTCAACAAGCTATTTGAAACAAATAATTATACACGATAGGTGTTCCCCTCCATCCACTAAAAAGTACCGGTACACATTCACAATCGGCCCATTCAAGTTTATTTTGATCAAAATTGAAGAACTTGTATGTATCGAACTGATAATAATATGAAATACTGAACAGTATTTCATATTATTATCAGTTCGATACATGTATTATTGTTTTTTCCCCACTTTTTTAATACTGTTTTTTTTTCTTCACTTTTTTAAAAGAAACTGTGCGCCTTTGGTTGAAAAAGTTAAACACTCTCCATGGACAACTGTAAAAATGTGTAAAACATGCACATGACTTTATTCGGACAGCAGGGATCTATGTTTTCGGATGCGTGGGAAACATGCTCGTTTATGTTTTTATTTTAAAAAAAAAGTAAGCTTACCCATCTTGTAGGAAGTATGTCTGCCATGTAGTGGGAAGGTCTGTGCTTGACTGTACAGTCCTCTCAATTCCTGTCACTATTACCTCCTCATCTCCAACCTTCTGAGAGCGTTCTTCAAGATGTTTCTAAATAATCAATATATGTGGCATTCAGCCATGTTAGTCAGGAATATTGCAAACACACAAAATATAATGGCTAACAAGAATAAAACAAAACTATACTTATGTTTGTGGACAACACAGGGCTGTTTGGGTAACTTTTTTGTGACATGTATAAAGTTTCAAGTATAAGTTCCATCCAGGAAGGATGTGTTGTTCTGTTTATAATAAATGGTGGCAGATAAATATGCGATTACATTCTCATAGCAGGGTTCTCCCCACGTACAAACGTGCGTATCGGCCCGATACGCTGGAATTGTGGCCCGATACGCCGACAAAAATGCCGATCACATTTTTCAGCCCCCGATACGCACAATATAATTTATTACACAAGCCATTAAAATGCACAACATTATCGTTTCATACGCCATTATTTCATCTTGACATTCAAAATCTTGACAAAAATCCCGTATTTCTGATGCTGCATGTGTGATCAAAATGCACACGATGACGGGTCTTTCGCGACGACCGCCAGCACCCAGCTATATATTAGCGCATTCAGCATGGTACACTGGTTCCCTTCGCGTGCTAACAGTATCAATGCTATGATGAAGGACCGGAACCAGTGACTACTGCCTTGTACGTGCATACATGATGATTTCGGCCGAAGTTGGATCGTAAAAACACCAAACAAACATCGATGGAGAAAGAGAATTTCTGCAAATTAATTCACAGAACGTGATCTCTATTTTCTGTGTATGTATTTTCCATTAAAATGACGAGATTGCAAAGCTCGAACGTATGGCGAAACATCGTACGCGACTACACGTAGCATGCTTCTTAGAAGCAGTGGTGCAAAATTGTCAGCCACATGGGATGGGCCGTACACAGTTCAGTAATGCACACTGATGCTGCGCCGTGAGCACAGCTCCATGTACAGCCGGCCAGACTGAATGTTGACGGCGCCAGGGGCCATGATGTACGTTAAACATATTGTGGAATCAACTACCTCAAATATATTTTTAACTAGGTGAGGCAAGTTTTAATCACTTTTGATGGTCAGTCTTGATAATTTTCGTGGTGCAAAGGAAAATAATCCAGGCACAAAACTACATGATTCCTTGTTCAATATGCTCCATTCAATCAAGTGTTTTTATTCCTCCATGATTCAATCAGCAGCCCAAAAAATTGGCGAAATAATTTTTCCGACTTACCGACGCTATTTTGAAAGGCATGTAATCGGAAGCAAAAGTGATATTTTTCTTCACCTTAATTTCTTAATTTGAAACTTGCTTGTTAATATAATTCATACTTTCTAGATCAGGAAGTTTTAACACAGGTTTTGAAATGTTGATTTTTTTTTTTAAGTTAAAAATTTTGATATATTTTTTTCTTTAATTACAAAAAATATCACATGATCTCCTCTAAATTTTAAGGGAAAATCTTCCTCAAAGACTCCCCATATGTGACCCGCTCTGCAAAAATGAGTCTGATGTCGCATAATTTGAATTCAAGCTTTTGCCATTTTGAAATGGAAACAGTAAAAATGTGCTCAAAATTTGGATTTTTTTGTTTTTGTTTTATTTTGGTTGTTTGATAGTTTTAGTTCAAATATCTTACACAGAAATGTAAATATTGTAAGAAAAAGAAAAAAAATTATGACTCTTTGGTGCTTTTCTTGGTTAGTTACAGTGTATTTGTCATTTTTCAAAACCTTTTTTCTCCATTGAGACACTTCTAGCTTTGCAAAAACTTTACAGAATGAAACAAGCACAACAATGCAACCAAATGTCCTAGAGAGGTCCGTGATATACCAAATGAAAGCTTATTTCATTCCCATTTTATTAATGTAGTTAACTCAAAATGTCAGTTTTTCCACAACAGACTCATTTTTGCGGAGTGGGTCACATATTTGCTCTAAAATGCACCAGAGAGCCTCTAAAGTTAAAAATTTTTCGGGGCCCTTAAGTGGGTCCCGAACCCCACGCCATGGCTTCGCAGGTTGGTGAACCACAACAAAACTTCCCCCACAGGTTTGAAAAAATCCTGGGGAGAACCCTGCATAGGGCTTTGAATTATGACGTCACATCAATTTTCATCTTTTATCATCTATTATCATCTATAACAACCTGCCGCTAGAGGGCGCTTTAACATTTTATGACGTCACCGTTATTTTTTGTATCATTGAAAGCTCACATCTTTCACCAATTTTTAAGTACAAGGCACTTCCGGTTTCAACCAGAAGGAAGGGTCACGTGATTTTGAATGTTAAATAAAAAATGATGATTATTTGATCAATTCCTGCAAACATCAACATGGTTGATTTTATATTGATTTTCAAAGATTAAATCTATTCATCTTTTAATAACGTGATGTCACGTGACCCATGATGACGTCCTTGTGACGTCACTTCAATTTTCATCTATAACACATCACGGTCTAGGTACATACCAACTTTCAACCCAATTGGACCATGTAGTTCTCAAGATATAGGCCTTCAAAATATGTGCTTTTAATGTGAAGTCACGTGACTCGTGATGACCCCAATATTCGGCACACATCTGTGGGTTGTGGTCTAAGTGTGTACCAGGCAGTGTTGTAACCAAGTCATTTTCTTCCCAAGTCAAGTCAATTTTTAAGTCATTTTTTTTCCCAAGTCAAGTCAAGTCACAAGTCAAATTTTTCCAAGTCAAGTCAAGTCTCAAGTCAAATTTTTACAAGTTTCAAGTCAATTTTTTTTCCAATTATAGCACCAACTTGACAATGTTCATGTCAAAACTGAAGTCCCGAGTCAGTCGGACGCGAACATGTCGGGGCAGACATGTTGACGCGGGAAGCCTAGCCACGCGGTAACGTACGTACGTACATGTACGTACATTTGTCTTATCGACAAATATTGACTTGGTTGGGGCTTTGCCGCTATCTCCAGTCAATTTGACCTTGGCTGTATCCGGAATAGAAGGTACCGTAAAGAAATTGTTTCGGTCCTTTTCTGGAAATTGGAAATAGGCTGCCGACCTTTTGTTGAAAGCCATCCATTTTTTTGAATCGGCGATGCGCATAAGCGATCCACTGGCATAGTTGGGAAAGCTGGATCCCGAGGTTCCTCTACGCCAGTCCGGCGTTTGAAAGAACGACGGGTGGTCTCTGGTTTACTGCTCTCTGGTAGTTGCAGTACCCGAACCATATCTCTTTGAACCAGCCTCAGCTGAGTCTCAAATTGTGAAAAATTGCCAGGGTCAGTGGCTTCATCATCCCCAGAGCACTCATCTTGTGAGCGAGTGGAAGGGGGGTGAGTATCATCAACATCTACGTCAGGAGCATCTTGAACAGAAGTGCCCAAATTCATAGATGGATGTAAGGAAATTCCCGCCTGTGATCTCGGGGGCACCCAATCGCGGCCTGGAGTAGGTGGATTATCTGAGCAGACACTGATGGCAACCCCAGGATCTGGGGGCCCAGTGTGTTCCCCTCTCATCCCGCCCAAAATCGGCAGGATTGCGCCCGGATCCGGCTGAATTAAGCCCGGACCTGGCCGGATTGCACCCGGATTCGGCCCGGATCCGGCCGGATCACACCCGGATCCAGCAGGATTAAACCCGGATTTGGGTCCGGAAATGTGGCCGCCGGAAGTGACCTCTGAGTCACCGTTGGGGCTGATCTCCATTGTTGTTGTTTAGTGAGGGCTGCTAGCGAAACGTTGATGTCCTGGAAAGCTTTTAGAAAGATTTCCGTGGATACACCTTTGTTTTTCTTTTGCCGATGTGTCGACTTACGGGGGGAATCCCCTGAAGAGGACGGCGCTGCCATGTGTTTCCTTTTCTTACTTGGGTGACTTGATTCACTGGATGAAAACTCCGATAATATCCTGGAAATTCCGGGGCATTGATCAAAGAATGATGTTGACTGCGAGTCCGTGGCCCGAATTTGGGGAGGAGGCAAGTCAGTCACCGCGAGTCCTGCCCATTCCGCACGGGTGGAAGCAGGAAGCTCAGAGCGCGATGAATGTGCAGACGGGGCCGGTGAGGATTGAATCCTTTTACCGCTCCGTGACTGGTCGTCCCCGAGCCAGCAGACCAATGGTCCGGAGACCGGCGGCGTGATCGAGCGACTTTTTAACCGCGGGACCCTTACGGCTGGTCACCTGGGGGGCCGTGGTTACACAGGGAGTTTTATCCCCGGTATCCTCACGGCGTTCCATACCGTAGGACGTATGTTTGATGTCGGTCAAAACGCGTAACACGGGATGACCGTTACAGACTACGGCGGTGTCCCTGCGTGGGGACTCACTGCTATCTTGTCTTTTCGTACTATTGTACTACTGAGATAAATGCAGTTGAGAACGGCCGAGGGGAAGGGAACGACCGCTGGTCGTTGTACCCCACGGAATTTCTCTTTACACGCCAGGCGAGGCGGCCGAGGGAAGGGAACGGCCAGCGGCCGATATACCCACGAATATCTCGCCGCTATCTCGTTTGTCGTCGCACTATCGAGATAGCTTAGGACGGGCGAGGGGCAGGGAACGACCTCTGTCGATATACCCAACGAAACATCCTCTTCTAGCTTACTAGCTCCCCGAGCTAGCTGAAACAGTCAGGGGGGAAGGGAACGACCTCTGTCTATATACATAGCTGTCAACTTTTCAAAATCCCAATTAGTAATCAACCCGCACGGTCATTTTCAACTGCTGACGTATTATCAAAAGTGTATGTATACCAGCTTTACCAACATCGAGTACAGGTACATGGTTTACATGTACACATACATGTGCATACCCTGCTTGTTGTGAATAATAATGTACTGTACAATGTAGGCCAAAAAATAATTTAAAAAAAAAATAATTAATTAAAAAAATTTAACAATTTTTTTTTTTTAAATTAATTTTGTTTTACTGTCTGTATTTGTTTGTTGAAGTTAGATAAATAATAACAATAATAACATGTGCGCATATTATTTTGAGATGCATGCTATCGATGTTGAGTTTCGAGTTCGTATTATGTTTTTACACACAATGATTTAGGGCCACC